GCTCCTCATTTTATCCCCTCCCCGTTACCCCATCCCTCGTGAACCCTTGATAATTTATAAATTATTATTTTGTCATATCTTGTACTGTCTAACAACTCCCTTCACCCACTTTTCTGTTGTCTGTCCCCCAGGGAGGAGGTTATATGTAGATCCTTATAATCGATTCCCCCTTTCCAACCCACCCTCCCTCTACCCTCCAGGTATCACCACTCTCATCACTGGTCCTGGATTTCCTGCATTTCCAGTTCCTATCTGTACCAGTGTCCATCCTCTGGCCTACCCAGACTTGTCAGGTAGAATTGGGAGCCTGGAAGTCTTTAGAGAGTGGTGATCTCGCCCTTTCTCCTGCGCTCAGTGCTCAGCTCGCAGGTGCCCAGAAACACTGCCTGAGGTTGTTCATCTCTGGGGATTGGGACCTTGGAAATGGGAGGGGCCCTGGCCCTCAGCAAGACCAGACTCTAATTTTCGCAGAGGGAAAAAAAAAAAAGTCACTCGGACTCATAGGGACCCTGTAGGACAGGGCAGGACTGGTTTCCAAGACTATACCTATTCATGGGAATAGAAAGCCTGGTCCTTCTCCCATGGAGTGGCTGGTGGGTTCTCACTGCTGATCTGTGGTTAGCAGCCCAGCTGATGACCACACACCACCAGGACTCCTAGAGGAGAAATGGAGGCTGGGGCAATGAAGGTTCACCCTGCATGCCACCAAACTTTGTCAGTCAGGGTTAGCATGCCCAGACAGAGAAGCGCAGGCACCCGCTGTGTGTGAAGAAGGCAATGTGAAGGTGGCGGCTCTACCATCAAATGCAGGGTGTCCTCAGGCTGCCACGCAGGTGGCAATTGTGTGTGTTGGGGGTGGGGGTGGAATGGGACAGGGAGAGAGACTTTCATGCTGACCAGTAGAACTCAGGGCCTTCTGTGTTTGCCTTTAATAAACTTCAAATACCTAGCGAACCCTTTCCCCAGGGGAGGGGTGTGTGTGGAATAACAGAAGTCCAGCCTGCCTTGGCAGAGCATTTCCCTGCCTTCTTAAAGGGTACCTGGGGCCTTGGGGAGGGGTTCTTCCAAGAACCTGGCCTGAGCTGCTCCCAGGGATGTTCACACTCGTGGTGCCACATCGTAGAATGTTCAAACGTCTGCAGGGCACCGTGTCCCCACTAGGTGCAAAGGGGGAGGAGCATGGGAAAAGAGGAGATTCAGAATGAGGGAGGGCAAGGCGCCCCCTTGCTGGCAGCAGGCTAGGCAAAGGCAGAGCTGGAAACTTCGTGGGGGGTTGCATCCACGTGGATGCGCTGGTGCCGCAGCAGGTGTGTCTTGCGGCTGAAGCTCTTGGCGCAGTGCGCACAGGTGAAGGGGCGCGAGCCCGTGTGGGTGGCCTGGTGGCGGACCAAGTTAGTTTTGGAACTGAAGCTTCGAGAGCAGACGGCGCAGGAGTGGGGCCGGCTGCCCGTGTGCACTGCTTGGTGGCGGCCCAGATGCGACTTGCGGCCGAAACAGCGGCCACACTGCGCGCAGGTGAAGGGCCTGGCGCCACTGTGGGCCCTGGCGTGCGCCGCCAGGTTGGGCCGGGAGCGGAAGCGGCGGCCGCACTGCGTGCAGGCGAAAGGCCGCTCGCTCGAGTGTCCCCGCCGGTGCTGTGCCAGGTGCTGCCCGGGGGCGACGTGGTCGGGGCCGGCCCTGGGCGGCGCAGTGGAGACGCAGCCCGGGCCTGGGGTGCCAAGGGGCCGGGCCTCATGCACCCGCTGGTGCCGCGCCAGGTGCTGCCGGTGCGTGAAGCTGCGCGAGCAGTGTGCGCACGAAAAGGGCCGCTCGCCCGTGTGGATGCGCTGGTGGCGGACCAGGTGCGTCTTTTTGCGGAAGCTCTTCCCGCACTCGGCGCACGGAAAGGGCCGCTCGCCGGAGTGTGTCTTCTGGTGCGCGCCCAGGTGGATCTTCTGGCGGAAGCGCTTCCCGCACTCTGCACACGGGAAAGGCCGCTCCCCGGTGTGCGTGCGGAGGTGGCGGGTCAGGTGCGCCTTCTTGCTGAAGCGCTTGTCGCACTCTGGGCACGCGAAGGGCCTTGCGCCGCCGTGGCTACGCTGGTGCAGCAGCAGGTGCACGCGCTGCGCGAAGCGTCGGCCGCAGTAGGGACAAGCGCGCGGGCCCTCGCCGCGGTGCAGCCGCTGGTGCAGCCCCAGGGTCAGCCGGTCTCGGAAGCGAAGCTCACACTCCCCGCAGCCGAAGGGTTTCTCGGGCACCGGGGCCCACCCGGACAGCAGGAGCCCACCTGGCGCCCCCGGCTCCAGCTTGTACGAGGTGGCCAAAGGTCTCAGGTCAGGTGTGGGCAGAAAGCCGGGGAGGAAGGAGAGCTCTTCCTGAGCCTCCTCATCCTCATCCTCCACCTTCACCTTCTGAACCAGCCACTCATCCCCTGAAGAGGCGCAGAGGGAGGTGGTGGGGTTGAGCCGAGGCAGGCAGCCCCGCCTGGGCTCCCTCAGGGCTGCAAGGGGCCTGGGTGACCAAACCCAGACTCTGCCTGCAGTCTGCCTCTCCAACACGCTCACCCTGCCCCACTGGGCTCCACACACCCAGTGGGCTCTGCCCTCAGCTTCCCCGGAGCAGCTCATCCCCCAAACCTTGTGCCACACATTTCTCGTCCTGTGAGCCTCCCTCTCCTCTTCCCAGGGCATCTGGTCCCCTCACATTGCTCACCCCGGCCCCCCCACCCTCCGGAGAGCACCGGATACTGCCGGTCTGGCTGAGTCCCACAGCAGCAAACCAAACCCACTGCCACCAAGTGGACTTCCAAGCCTGGCAGTCTTTTTTTTGTG